CTTCCGGATTAACTTCCGAACACAAGTCCAAATCTAAAGACAGACGACACGGGGATAGACATGAAAATCGCAGTTCAGAGCATTTTTCGCGGAATACTTTTGAGGATAGATATGATCCTTCAAAGTCTCATGACACATATGAAGATGATATCTCTGCTAACAGCAAGCATATTAGGGCTGATAAATTTGTTGATGGAAAATCATCTAATGGGCAGACATTTCAGAAAAAATATATATATATAATAATAAAAAAAAGGTAATTTCCTCCTTACTTTAATAACCGGAGCAGTTTTACCATTTGGGGTAAGTTATCTGGAGTTATCCCTTATCCTTTCTTTGTGGTTTCATTTGAATTTGAAAATGACATTTTGTTTGTAACATGGTTTATTGGCACAACTTTGCTGTACGATGTCATCATGCTTCAACAAGTTTTCATCCTTTGTATCTTTGACTGTTTTTGTTTCTAATGAGCAAGAGCTCATTCAGTTTGCTAATTCGAGTTTTCAATTTAAACTAAAATGTGACTTTATGTGAGTGCTTTTAACTGTTGTAAAAAAAATTAAATGTGACTTTTTATGAAAGTTTTTAATTATAACAAAACTGTAATTGAAAACTCGATGTGAAATGTTTGATGATTGCAGAAACTCACCACTTGAATTGTTTATATCGTTGTTCCCTTGTCTTAACTATCATGATTGTAGGTCATAATCATTTCATTTAGATAAGGATGTCCTCTGAGAACTATGTCACTGCATATTTGCTAAGCTACATTGACATCACTATTTTTGCTTAATTATTCCTATGATTAGCCCACTGGTGTTTTTTTTTCAGGTAAGTAAATTCTTTCATCCGGCTCATACCTCGAATTTGACTAGTGCCAGTACGATTTAAAAAAGAAATTGTACAAGACTGAAGTTTGTAATTTAATTTGTTCATTGATTTGTGTACAAACATTTTGATTGAATCACAATGGTCTTAACTTTTGTTGAGTTGAACTTTTATTGGGAATACAAATGTACAACGTATATATTCTAAGATTAAAAATCTTTACTGTTTTGTTTGATAAACACATACATACGAGAATGTATCTTTCGATTTTAACCTTCTTTTAGTGAATATACTTCAAAGTGTTTATAAGACAACAGTGTACTTTGCATTAAACTTTATCTCTTAAGTAAATACTGGAAATAAATCACATATGTGTTATCCCAGACTTCAAAATTTGTTCCAATCATTTTGCACTATTACAGCCTTGTGCTCTATTTTGCATTCATGAACATTTATAAGATTAAACCATGGTCTTGTTAGGAACGACATCATTCTTTATGCTCACTTAGTTGAAGTTTCAAATTATGTCTCTAGCTACTGTGAGACTTGAACTTCATTAAGAGTATAAACTCAACCTCAACCACGTAGCTATTTGCACCGACATCCTGGAAGGGACAAATAAATTTTTGGTGTTAACCTGGTCACATAGCAATGACTTATTTTTACCCATTTAACTATGGAATAGCAGTACAACTATTACATAGTTAGGATACCATCATCGGTGACTCTTTAAAAGAAAGGTTTCAGTCTCATTCCACTAGACGTTTCTTGGACTAAGTATCTCGAAAGACCTTTTATCAAGGGATCCGCTAGGTTCTTGTTAGTCCTAACATAAATAATATTGATAAAACCATCGGTTATTAATTGTTTCACATATTCATATCTCAAGCTAATATGTCTAGATTTCTCATTATAAACCTTGTTATAAGCTCTACATTGTTATAAGCTCTAGACAAAGTAGTTTCACTATCGCAGTACAAAGAAATAGATGGCATCGGTTGTGGCCACAACTCAATATCAAATAATAAATTTCTCAGTCATTCCACTTATTTGCCTGCAGTGGCAAGTGCTATAAACTCACTCTCCATTGTAGATTGAGTTATGAACGTTTGTTTCTTAGAAGTCCAAGACACGGATCCTACTGCAATTGTGAAAATCTCACTAGATGTGGATTTGTTATCACTAGCACTTGTTATCCAACTTGCATCCGAGTACTCTTCAAGTACCGCCGGATAATCATTATATGACAAACCCAAATTAATGGTTCTTTTAAGATAATCAAGTACTCTACCAATTGCATTCTAATGTTCAACACCTAGGTTACTCGTGAACCTAGATATTTTGCATACTGCAGATGCTATGTCGGGTCTTGTACATCAAGCTACCAATTGCACTAGCATATTCAAGTTATGCCACCGCTCGGCCTGTATTCTCTAATAATTTAAAAATTCAATCATATAGAATATTCGCTTCTTTAAACTTTAAATGATTGAATTTAAGAAGCACCTTCTTAATATAATGAGATTGACACAACGAGTAACCCCACTATACTTCCTCACCTAAGATAGTATTTACCTCACGAAGATCTTTCATCTTAAATTGTGAAGTTAGATACCTCTTGGTGTCATTTACTCTGTGCATGTTTGTTCCAAAGATAAGCAAGTCATCAAGATACAAACATATAATCACACCAAAATTATTTGTAAATTTAGAATATATGCATTTATCTGCATTGTTATGCTTGAAATCATGAGATAAAATGACATTATCAAATTTCTCATGACACTATTTTGGTGCTTGCTTTAGACCATAAAGCGACTTAACTAACTTGCAAACATTTTCCTTATTTCCAGGCAATACACACCCTTCGGGTTGTTCTATATAGATTTTCTCATCTAGTTCACCATTTAAAAATATTAATAAAATATTTCCTCATTCAGAAATATCACTTAAGATAGTAAAAAATATTATTTTTGTCACAACACTTAAAAATAAATAATTATCATTTAATTAATAAATAAAAAATAAAAATGCACCATAACACTTAATAACTTATAATAACATAAATAACAAGTTTTCACGAAACGATGACCAACTAAGTAGTTTTCTCTGTACCTACGTACCTTAATCTAGACAAAACCCGTGATTCTCATTGCCTAAACCAAAGTCCACTTTCGTGGGCTATTCACACAAATTCAAGTACTCCCTCCCCTTGTTAAATTTTCCTTTCCCCTCTAATTGATTATTGTGCTAGACATAAATCCTGGTAAGACTTTTTAAATGCATACGTTTTTATCCTTTGGTCCTCAATAAATTACACAAATTACAATCAAAATCCAATATTTATTTTATTATTATTTGCGGGCAGGACTAACGTACAAACAAACAATACTAGCCAAAAAAAAAAAAAAAAAAAAATGGAAAACAAAGAGTTGACCCGAATAACAAAAACCACGGCATGAGAAGTATATAACATCTGCCAGTGTATAATCATATTTTTGTGCTTCAGATAGATACAAAGAAAAAATCTAACCAGTGTATAAACCCTTGTTTTGTTTCTAATCTTAGTTTCCAACCAGTTGGGCTTTCAATTTTCTTGGTTTTGTTTGGAAATGGTCAAAGTCTGGAGTCTTGAAAACTGACCCGTCGATGGTGGGTTCGAAGGCTCTGCAACTGAAGCAGTTGCAGAGACTAGTGAGAGCCATCATTCTTCTTTCTTCTTCTCTTAGTTCTTTGATTTCGGCTTAGCTATCTCTGATGGTGGTTGGCAAGTTTTCTGCTACTACTTTCAGCCGTCTGTACTGACTTCAAGAGTTTTTGCTAAATTAAATTATTGGCTTCAAAATTTTTCATTTGCATTTTTTGAGTTAAGTTGACTTGAATTCAGATCTTAATTTGAGTTAAGATGTATTTGAGTATGGTTTGAGTTAGGACGCTAATTTGAGTTTGTGTTTAGATTTGCACATTTTGAGTTATGCTTTGAATTGATAATCTATTTAAATTTGTGTTTGAGTAATGTCAAAACTTAAATTTGTATTTGAATAGTATTTTAATAAAAACTCAATGGTGATGAAAAATTTTAATAGGGTATATGAGTGGAGTTTTATTCGTCTCTTCGTTGTGAACGCATAAAAAAAAATCATCTCGAACCAACGAAATGAACGGGGCAATAGGCTTCAAAACTTTTTACTGTAGAGTTTTTTCCATTTTGTCCACACTCATTGGCTTCAAAATTTTAGAGTTTTTCCATTTTGTCCACACTCAAAACGAACTATCTCAAGTTAGCCCCTACTCAAAACAGAGAGAAAATTGTCGTTTTTTATTTATCAGTTTTTTTTTTTTTCCTTGCTTTTGTTTTCTTATATATTTCATCCCTTTTTGTTTGTTCTTCGATTCTTTTTTTTTTTTTTTTTTTTTTTTTACGTAATGCTTTTTCAGCTTGAAGTCTTGTGATATGTACCCATGCCTCGGAATGGCATCAATGCAATCCGCATCAATACATAAGCATTTATTTTGAGAAGTTTATTAAAATTTTTTTGTTAAATGGTCATGAATTATAATCTTGAAAAGTGAAAAAACTCATGTAAATCTCAGAAGTACAAAAAAAAAAAATGTTGTTGGAACTCGGAAACAATACCCAAAAAAAAAAACAAAGAAAGATTAGAATACCACATTACTATTTATAATATTTTTTAGGTTGTGTGAATTATTAGATGATTAAAATTGAGATACGAAACAATAATGTGTATTTTTTAGTTTATTGGTTGATCCTTACTTTGACATTGATTGTACCTGTTGCAAAAGTCAGTTATGAAATCGAATTGGACATTAATGGAAGTCGGTTATGAAATCGAATTTGGACATTAATGGATGAATGATAGCTTGATTGTTATATACAATAGAAATAAATATTTGATCATGTATGAAAGTATATCATACTATGAAAACTTATTGTCGTCTATCATAATATGTATTGGGTAGTTCTTAGAAAATATTGTGATATTATTTCATATTATTCTTGATGTCAATTATTTTTTCAAATTAAAAAATATTATTCTTGATGTCAATTATTGCGTAGTTATAATACCTCACTGCTGACGATGAGCTTCACGAGTTCACCCTTGTATAAATAGACATAAGAGGCAAGCAAGATTGATCAGTTCTCGCTAAACTATCAAAAGTATTATAGGGATGGCGAAAAATAGTGTTAATTCCGTTTTGGTACTTCTTGCTTCGGCTTTGGCCACTTACATTGCATTTGCTGCTGACCCAGGCCCTCTCCAGGACTTCTGTGTAGCAACTAATGACCCTAAACATGTTTGTAAGTGTCCTTGTTCCAAATTTATCTCTTTATTTTTTTTTTTTTCTAATTCTTTGTTACGATCACACTAATTTTTTAATTTCTACTCACGAAGCAAATGTGGATAACTTTTCTATGTTTATGCAATTTATATAAACATGCATGTACTAATTCTAACTGAATATTTTTAGTGAGATAATTATACGTAAATGTAGGTGACAGAATAAGTTATATTTTTATGGATATTGATATTTTATTGCTTTAATTTTTCAGAAAACATCGACAGAATATTATAAGTACCAATTATATCTATTTCCCTTCTACAATTTTTTAATATCAAGATATTGATATTTCAGAAATTTTCATCCTTGGTTTCTCTAACTATAGCAAATACAATCAATTTCATATGATCAACAGTGTTTGTGAACGGAAAATTCTGCAAGAATCCGGAGCTGGTGAAGGCTGAGGACTTCTTCTTCTCAGGGATAGACATCCCTAGAGACACAAACAATGCAGTTGGCTCCAACGTATCCATGGTGAACGTCGACAACCTTCCGGGGCTCAACACCCTCGGCGTGTCTCTGGCGCGCCTCGACTTCGCGCCATACGGGTTGAATCCTCCTCACACCCACCCGCGCAGCAGCGAAATCCTGGTCGTCACCGAGGGCACGCTTTACGCCGGGTTCGTGTCGTCGGATGAGGACGGAAACCGCCTGTTTACCAAGACTCTTCACAAGGGAGACGTGTTTGTGTTCCCGATTGGGATGATTCACTTTCAGTTCAACATTGGGGAGGACCGGGCCGTGGCCTTCGCCGGGTTCGGAAGCCAAAACGAAGGAAGGATCACCATTGCGAACACCTTGTTCGGGTCCCACCCTTCCATCAAGGCTGAGGTCCTTGCTAAGGCGTTCATGTTGGACAAGGACGTGGTTGAAAAGCTTCAGAAGAAGTTTGGACAGTAAGCTGATCGTGATCGAAGCTGGCCTACTTGATTTACTGTGTACTATTAAGGTCAATGTCATGTTTCTCGCGATATAAATAATTACGTGCTTATATTATCTTGTATCTACCTCACGCAACGACTTATTTGGTCGTGACTTATAAATAAACATGTGATGGTACGTATTTCATATTGTATTTCAGATATAAATTTTTGGTATATTCCGGGTTTGCTAATTAAATATATCCCTCTCTACGTCAAGTCAATCCGAACCAGTGACACCCGAAGAGTGTTGAGTCCCGGAATTCTATCCACATTCACGGTTGTGACATTGGATCCAACCTGATTGTTGGTGTCTCCAGCAATATTTAGACCCGAAGTGAAGAAATCCTCAGCCTTGGCAAGCTTTGGATCCTTGCAGAATTTCCCATTCACAAACACTGCTTGAAAGAAACATTCTGCTAGCTAGTTTGTATCAAATAATTATCAAAAGATGAAAGATATGTCATTCAGACACTAAATATACGGAGTATTCATATGCTAATTAACTGCATTACATTCTTTAAACTTTTTTTTCCCTGCTACTGTACATTCTTTAAACTGAAAAGGCTTGATAAAGTTGGCAGGGAAAGAAATGAGTTTATGACTACACACAGGCTCTTTTAGGGTTGCCTATTGCGACGCAAAAGTCCTGCAGGGGACTGGGGTCATAGGCAGAGGCAATGGAAGTTGCGAAAGCCAAGACTTAGAGTGAAAGAAGGAAATGAACTCCCTTAATTATTTTAGACAACCTGTCTCTTAATTAATCTACCAATCTGTGGAGTGGTAATTAGTGATGAGAGGGGGTGAGAAACTTGTGGATACCAAGTCTATTTGTAGAGGGATTACTGTTGCTAAACTTGGTCCACTTTTTGCTACAGGAAGCAGATAGAAGATTGGGAAATTGTCTTCAATGGTTATATATCTGCTTTGTACAGAAAGAATCATTTTTCTACTGCTATATATAAGTACAGTAATTTTAATGTCCTCTTGAGCTCCTTTGCTTCCATCAATGAGCAATTGGCATAGAAGTGGTCTCTTTTGATGTCTTGCCTTGCATAGTATTCTTGCTTTCATTCCTTTGATTATATAACAATTAAGTTCTATTGTTGGATTATCCAGAGTTTGGAAACTGTGATCACTGTTTTGCTTTTGATCAATTCAATTAAGCAAATCTTTTATTGGCCAGTGAGAATAAGCATTTAGTTACACTGTTAAATTGGAGCTTACTCAATAGGCTAATCTAATAAGTTGGACGTAATAATTTGAACGCAAGTACATCACCGTAATTTAATTGTGTCTTTAACCGCTCCTTTGATTTTAATCATGATTAGATAATTTGGAGACACTAGAAGTTGGAAAAAAAAATTGCATAGTTCATTTCAATCTGTTCGTGTCTTTATCTCTTTTATTTCATTTGTGTTAAAGATATTTCCTTCCTTAGAGCATCTTTAATGTAACTTGAATTAGTGTACCAGAGCTTAATTTTAGTATTTTAATATGAAAATTATTCTCCAATAAAATGGTTTTTTTTTTTTTTTTTTTTTTTTTTTTTTTTTTTTTAATAAAATATACGACAAATTTAGCATTTAATTTTTTTTTTTTTTTTTTTTTTTTAAATTTATCATATGCTATACTACCGCCAAATAAAATATACGACAAATTTAGCATTTAATTGCTATTGCTCAATATGCTTATCTTTTCATTTAATCATTACAACATTTACATTTCTAAAATATTTTAAAATTAAAAGTTTACTTTACAACTTCCAAAACATAATGATTATGGCAAAAAATAAATGTAACATTTAAGAGCATCTCTAATGCAATGCTATAACTAGAACATCTCCATACAATGTTTGATGTGCCAATTGCAGATTTAATATTTGACTGTAAAAAACACTTGCAGATTTAATATTTAAGTGTAAAAAATACTCTCTAATGCAATGTTATTTGTCGTGTCAAATTTTTCATACACTTTGTTGTAAATTTTCCACATGGCATATGAAAATTCGACATTTGATTACTATTGGTTGAAATGTTTATTTTTTTCATGTAATCAATGCAACTTTTGCATTTTCTAACTATTTTAAAAATAAAAGTTTACTTTTACAACTTCTAAAGCTTAATAATTATAGAAAAAAGTAAATTTAGCATTTCAAATAGCATTATGCATTGGGGTAAAAATGAAAATAACGTAACATATCACAGTTTTTGATGCTAAATATACAATGTATTGACATTAGTATTTGCATTGGAGATGGTCTAAAATAGCATTATGCATTGAAAATCAAATAAAAATAACATATTAAGGGCCAATTTGGCATTGCTGTACTATTGAAAATTTTTTATGTTGTTGTGCTCTTAGTAATAAGTTGCTGTGACAAAAAACATATAGATGCTTAGTAAATATTTTCACAAAACTGCTGTGAATACAAGAAGCAAAAATTTAAGTGTTTGGTAAATTGTGTATGAAATTGCTGTAGAGATGTATAATGAAGAAAGTAGACATACTTTAGCACATATTTATAGTTAGTTTTATTTATATTTTTATGGTCAATATTCAAAATATAAAAAAATATAATTTTAATTTTATTACTTGAAATATTTTTTTTAAAAATAAATTACTTTTATTGATAGGAAAAAAAATATCATCTACTAAATTTCCTACTTAGAAACCACTTGTAATCAAACATCCTAATCTATTGTAACTTCTTTAAAAAACCTAAAAACATCTTTTAAAAGCAATGCAAAAGGTTGCTTATATAAATAAATATATATATATATATATATATATATTACTAATATGCCACATACATGCATTAAAGATGGTCTTAATGTATAGGTGGTTGGAGAGAAGAGAAAACTTGCGAAATTAAGTTAGGAGCCAACTAATTATTAATGATCAAAATGGTAGTAAGAATTACATATCAGAGTGAAAATCAAAATTAAACAATGAGCGTTGTCAAAAGGAGATTGTTTTCTCAATCACATTTCCTTTTTAGCTTGCTTGAAGAGCACTCTACATGCACTGCAAGAATTTCGGTAGATTATGAGAAAGAAAGTGTCAAATTGAACAAAATCATACTTTTTGTTCCTCGGTAGACTTTTTTTTCCTGGAAAATGGATCAAGATCAACTCAGAAGTTGTTATCAATATAATGCAATGAACTGTACAGAGCCGTTCCGAAAGGCAATGTCGTATAGAATGGGGTAATCTAGTTTTCAATATTTCCTAGGTATCGAAATGCAAGATATAACTTGATTGATAATTGAAAATTGAAATAAAAAAAAGAGTACAAAAATATGAAACAGCTGGGAACTTTGACATTGGGTGTTCAGATAAGATGTTTCTTGCCGTGCAAGCAAACAAAACTTGGTAAGAGAAAAAAAGAGTTTCAACGTGGAAAATATACAGTAATTTGGTCATTTAAAAGTGATATAATTCCAATGAATCCATAGATCGGTTACTAGCTAGCCCTCCTTCAAAGTAGATCAATCTTTTAGGGCCTGTTTAGAAAGTGTATTCAAACTATTATTTTTTATTTTAATATTTGAAATTTAAATTTTTTATAAGAGAAAAATACTGTATCAGAATTAATAATTTGAGTTTGAGTATATGAAACAAACAGGCTCTTAGTTATTTTATTTGGCACGGTCTTTTCTACGTACCCAATGTTTTGTGTAATAATAAATACCACCTAGAAGAATGGATACCTATAATACGTATGTTTGAACAGTTTCTACTGGCAATGACACCCATCAACTACTCCACAATATGATACTTGGTGAATACTACTTGAATATTCGTTTGATTAGTGCATGAAAATGCACATTAAATACTGCTTTTGATTTATATAATATTAAAATATTTAAACTTTAATTAAAATAATTCCATTATTTTTATTCAGAATATTTTTCATTAGAATTTGTCTAGTTGTTGCTTAATTATTTGCAGATAAAAAAGCAGTGTAAAAAGCTACATAGAAATAAGCCATGAAAGCCATGTTTTCAACCACCCCGAGCCAAGCTTTTCAGCCGAGCCACACAAGCTAATCAGAGAGAGAAAGAGAGAGTGTCAACCATTTGAGCCACCGAGCCAAGCCACCCCATCAGTCCAACACGCGTGGGCCCTAGTTTGTGATAGCCTATGTGTAGCACTTCCAATGCGCGTCACTAGCATGAGAACTCCTCAGTGTGCGCGTTCCTTCCACACAGCCATCAGTGCGTGTCCCCGCTTTCCTCCGCGTGGGTCCCACGTGTCTACGTGCAGCCTGCTCCTCTTCTTTGTGCGTGACAGTTGGCTTCTGCGGACCCCGCACCTGCTCACGCCAGCCTGCCTTTCCTTTCAGCACGCGCCAGCTGTTCTCATCTCTGACCGGCGCTACACACTCCAACTATTCCGCGTGCGACACGTGTCGAGTTGTCTCCTCACTGCAATCACATTGCGACACGTGTCCTTTTTGTGCTAAGTCCGAATTTCTTTTCTAAAAATCAAAGCAAATTACTGAATTTCCTCCTCAAATTACTGAATTTCCTCCTCAAATCACATATATGATTTCTCCTAATTTATGTGTAATTTTATTTTGTTTCTTTTTTTTTGTAATTTTTTGTTTTTATTATTTGTTTCCTTATTTGACAGACAACTTCTGAACACTATAAATAGAGAGGTTAACCTAAGATTTTTGTAAGCTTTTAATATTCAGTTTTCTGTCATCTTGCTGTCACTCTCATATTTTCTCTCTAGAACTTGTGAGAATGTTTTGCAAACTAGGCTAGAGTTCTTCTGGTGAGGTTAGAGATGAACTTTTGTTGAGTGACCCAATTCGGGCTTTTAATTCCTTGTGCTGTAAACTTCAACATCCGAATGAATTAAATCTCATCTATCTTTCTTTTACTTTTCAAAATATTGTGTGCTAATTTTTTTATAAGTTTAGTCACGCTTTTCTTATGTAATTCTATCATGCATTTTTTTGTTATTCAAATTATTTTATGAGTTGTCTTTTACTACAATATTGTTGATGAGTTAAATTTGTGTTTACATTTGTGTTCTCCCGACTCATTATTTTGTCAGTTTTTAGGTGTTTTTAGGAGTTATTTATGTGTTTTCAATTTATTTTGTATAGATTTGTTTCAGTTGGAGTCCATTGGTGATTTTTGGGAATTTTTGGAGCAAAATTAAAGAACGAGCACTAAGGCTTCGTAAAGGGGCACTTAGGCTTCGAAGATAGAGCAAAAACAAGTTTTCTTGTACTACAAACCCGATAGCAAAGCGCCTAGGCACCATAAAGTAGAGCCATGGCGCCAAAAACAAGTTTTCTAGTACTACAAACCTGAGAGCAAAGCACCTAGGCACCATAAAGTGGAGCCATGGTGCTATGGAGAAGAAAATCGCAAATTTGCCGCAGCGCCATGGCGCCCAGGGACAGAGCCATGGTACCACATCGAATTTCTGAAGGCCTTTGTTATGGCGCCACGGCGCCATTGAAGTAGAGCCACAGCGCCAGTTTGGGATTTTCATGTTTTAATCTCTAAATAATTACCAAAAGTTTCATTACGACCCTAAACCTATAAATAGGAATTTTTAGACTCAGTTAGGTTATGTTGGGACTTAGAAAAGAGAAAGGAGAACTTTTCTACTGCAAAGGAGAAGACAAATTAACCGGGAACGGAATTCTACTTCAATTCGTCAAAATAGTTTTTCCTTTTCTCTTCTCATGTTTAAGAATATTGTTAAGATGTTTTCTCTTTTCATTATGTTCTAAGTTTCCTATTCTAGGGCTACAATGTAGCCGGATCATGATGTTTTGAATTATGTTATCATATCAATAGAAAAATTATTCATCCTAGTTGAGTTTTCATCACTGTTCTTAATGCTTCTAATTAATTGGCCACTAATTGGATGATTAGTTAATTCATAATGAAACCGGAAGGAGATTTATGTTTTTCGATCATTGTGTTGAATTCCCTTGATTGCATGTAAGATAGGGATATACTTGCATGGTTGGTGTGGTTGCTACATGGAAATCCATAAAACTTAATGACTCTTTAATTGTTTGAAATTCACATAGGAATATAGTGAGTTAGCAATTAAGGGGATTTTTGATGTAACTCGGAAGGGAGCATCGATTAATTTAGGGATTTTTGACTGTCAATTAAGGAGAATAATTTAAGATTAATTAGATAGATAATTCAAGGCGGAATGGTTTGGTGAAATCGGAAAACCTAGACCTTGTTAATATTGAATTTTGATAATTACTTAAATTGTTGATTAGATTGTTTAGTTTTATTTATATAAAAATTCTCACTTGCTTGTTTCGTTGAAATAAAGTTAGTATTGATACAATTTCAGTAATTAATATTATTCAGTCCTCGTGGGACGATACTCGTTTCTATGAACTTTACTACTTGATACGATAACGTGCACTTGCGTTTGCGAAAATTCATAACAGTTTTTGGTGCCGTTGCCGGGGTCTGATTCAAATATTAATATTGATACTAAGAATTCTAACTTTACTTTGGAATTATTTTCTTTTATTTACACTAGTTTGTGTCTTCTTTCTTCAAGCGTTTTCTTAGGTGTATGAGACGATCTGGAAGTTCTAATTTGATTCCTTTCGATTCAGAGATCGAGCATACTTGTCGAAAGAATAGAAAGGACAAAAGAGAAGTTATCAGACAGTTGCAAGAAACCATGGACAACGCTGGAAGAATAGAAAATGACGCTAATCAGCAAGGAGCTAGAGACAACCAGCAACAAGCTGTAAACAATCGGGCATTACGTGACTATGGTATACCCGTTGTTAATGAGGCACTTTCAGCTATAAGGCGGCCTGCAGTTCAAGCCAACAACTTTGAGATTAAGCCAGCTATTATCCAAATGGTGCAATCTAGCCAATTTGGTGGGCTCCTCAATGATGACCCTAACGCCTACATTGTTAGCTTCCTGGAAATCTGTGACACTTTTAAGAACAATGGTATTTTTTATGATGCCATTAGACTGAGATTGTTCCCGTTTTCACTTCGAGACAAGGCAAAAAGTTGGCTAAACTCTCTTTCGCCGGGAACCATTACTACTTGGGATGCTTTGGCCCAAAATCTCCTAGCAAAGTTCTTTCCTCCTGCAAAAACAGCCAAGATGTGGAATGCCATTACCACCTTTACTCAACATGACATGGAATCTCTTTATGAGGCATGGGAAAGGTACAAGGAAATGTTGAGAAAATGCCCACACCACGGATTACCTGATTAGCTTCAAGTGCACACTTTTTACAATGGGTTGTGTGAAACAACTAGAACTCTTGTAGATGCAGTAGTAGGTGGAACTTTCATGAGCAAGACACATGAAGAGGACTATGAACTATTAGAAGATATGGCTGCTAATGCATATCAGTGGCCAGTGGAACGTTCAACACCAAAGAGAGCATTCAGAATCCATGAAGTTGACGCTCTCTCCGCACTCACTGCTCAAGTAGCCACATTATCTAAGCAGTTGGGTTCACTAATTGCAAATGCCATACACACAGCACCGGAGGTATGTGAGCTATGTAGTGGAAACCATGCAAGTAACGAATGTCCAATTGGCAACTCAATTGCTCCTCATCAATCTGAGCAAGCTCACTTTGCTGGAAATTTCAAGCGGCGGCAGAATAGTCCTTTCTCCAACACATATAATCCAGAATGGCAAAATCACCCGAATCTTTCATGGAAGAATAACCAAAATGTGATAAAGACAGCTCCTATCTTTCAACCTCAACAGCCTAAGGTGTCACTGGAAGGTGCTCTTGCTCAACTCTCTTTTAACACAAGTTAGTTTATGACAAGAACTGATGCTACACTTCAAAGACAAGAGACGACTATTCAAAATCAAGGTGCGTCTATCAGAAACTTAGAGGTCCAGATTGGTCAACTTTCAAACATGCTCACTACACGTCCTCAAGGCTCTCTACCAAGCAACACAGAGACTAATCCAAAGGAGCATGTTAAAGCCATAACTCTTCGAAGTGGCAAGGAGTTAAGCGATCCCGTTGGAGTAGAAGTTGTTGATGAACGAACAAAAGAAGATGAGTTACCCAATCAAACTGAGAAGGAGCCTCTAAAAGAAGTGGTGAAGCCAAAGTCAAAGCTTTTCCCCGACAATCCTCCACCACACAAGCCACCGATTCCATATCCTTAATGGTTTCAGAAGCAAAAGTCAGATAAGCAATTTTCTAAATTTCTTGATGTGTTTAAGAAATTGCATATTAACATTCCATTTGCGGATGCTCTGGAACAAATGCCCAGCTACATGAAGTTTATGAAGGAAATCCTTTCCAACAAAAGAAAACTGGAGGAGTATGAGACAGATGCACTTACTGAAGAGTGCAGTGCTATATTGCAGAAGAAGTTGCCACCTAAGCTAAAAGACCCCGGGAGTTTCACTATACCGTGCACCATCGGAAACTCATTCTTTGACAAAGCCCTAAGTGATCTGGGGGCTAGCATTAACTTAATGTCTCTATCCGTGTATCGGAAGTTAGGTTTGGGGGAAGTAAAATCGACAACAATTTCTCTATACTTGGCAGATAGGTCAATCAAGTATCCAAGGGGAATCATCGAGGATGTTTTAGTAAAAGTGGACAAGTTCATCTTCCCGGCCGATTTCATTGTCCTTGATATGGAGGAAGGCCAAGAAATCCTAATTATTCTTGGTAGGCCATTCTTAGCCACTGGGAGAACTCTTATTAATGTGCAGAAAGGGCATCTTATCCTAAGATTTCAAGAACATGTAACTTTTAATGTTTTAAAGGTGATGAAGTACCCAGATGACGCAGAAAGTTGCTTGAAGGTGGACATTGTCGAAGATTGTGTTAAGAAAGTTTTTCAATTAACTACCCCGTCGAGCCACTTGAAGCTTATCTTGTTGGATCTGTTGACATCAATAATCCAGAGATTGAGGAATGCATTAATCATTTGGAAGCTACACCACTAGTTTTCTTCAAGAAGCCATTTGAAGAGCTTGGAAAAGGTAATCCTAGACCTTTACCATCTATTGAGAAGCCACCTATCCCAGATCTTAAACCATTGCCTTCACATATGAGGTTGAACCCGAACATAAGGGAGGTGGCGAGGCCTGGCACTAAATGGAAAATGACAACAAGGGAGAAACCGGTTAACTTTTTGGCGAGCACACTAACTCGAGCGGGAAAAGCATGGAATTACTTCATTTCATTTGCTCAAAATTGATGCCAAGTACTCAATTTACTGAGATCAACAAGGACCGGGCCATCCTTTTGTTTTCCATTCTTACAAGGCGCTCTATCGATGTTAGTAGCATTATCCAACAATCAATTCTAAAGACTATACGGGGAACAACTTCTGGAGGATTATCACATCCATCCCTTATTACTGCTCTTTGTCATAATGTGAGAATGACTTGGACCGATATAGAGGAGCAACAACTACCAAAGCCAGCCATTACAGTGCGCACAATTATCCATTACAAAAGCTGGGAGGACAACCAAGAGGAAGAAGTTGCTCCGGACCCCGCACATGCTAGTTCCTCACGACCACCCCATCGGGCCTGTTCCACTACTTTGACCATTGAAGAGAGGGTAGCTTGTTTGGAGCAGGCAGAGTAGACCCGCATTCAGGAAGTCCAACAGCATCGCCGAGAGTTTCATCATTATGCTTCCTGGCAGGTGGAGGCCACAGCTGCACTGGCTCAGATGCTTGGCCAATACACAGGAGCACCAGATCCATGGCTACCTCCAGCACCCGTCTTTCCACCGTATTCGCCACCAGCTACAGTAGAAGATGGAGATGATGACGGCGAGGGCATCTGACTTAGCCCTCGCCCAGGTAAGTCCTCGGAACTTAATTTCTATTTTACCATTGAGGACAATGTTTGGTTTAAGTTTGGGAGATGTTTTAATTATTCTTCCCAAAAAAAAAAAAAAAAAATTGACAGTCAGGCTGAACAACACCATGGCCTATGATGAGGTTGGTTTTGCTTTCTACTAGTTCTTGACGAATTGATAAATATTGTGGTTTGTGTGTGTGCTTGATGCTTTTGTTGATGATTTTCCTTGCCTAAATTCCTTGACATTTTGAGCACTTAGCCTTGAACAGTTGATTGCGTTGCTTGCTTAGAGAAAGTTTATGTGATTTATGTATTCATATGATCTTATAAGAATTCTAGAACTTGTTCAATTGTTACTCGAGGTGAAATCCTAGACTACATTACATTGAGGATATGATTTAGGTCATTTTTAGACGTTTGAGCCTTTCTAGCCAACCTGTGCATAATATACCCTTCGTTCACCCCTTTGAGCTTATATTAACCTTTTCTTTGTTACCCACATTTTAACCTTAGCCTGAAATAATATCTCTTGTTCTACCTTTTCACTCATATGCATGTGGACATTCTAGATAATTATTAAAGAGCTATTTGATTTTGGGGAGGATGGGAGGAGCTTGGAATTGTATTTCTTCATTTGAAAAAAAAAGGGAATATATATGTATAGGTACCACATCTCTTGATCACGTACGTCAAAGAATAAATTTGGGGGTGTGGTATTCAAAAAAAAAAATCAAATGAAAAGAAAAGCAGTTGACAATGGGAAGTGAAATCAAGTTTGGGGTTTTTTCTTTGTATTGGAAGAAGCTCTTGAAAATGGAATGCTTATGTGTGTTTGGGTGATTTGAGCCATGTTTATATCCTATATCCTACCTTTAAACCCGAGCCACACATTACATGCCAAGTTAAGTCCTAATGATCTTTTTGTTTTGTTTGGTCTACATTAGTGGAGAGTAATGAGGAAAGCAAGCATATGGAGTTCTAACTATTCTCCAAATTTTAATTAACTTGGTTGCATAAACTAATCTGGGTGCAAGTAGTTGACTGTGATAGGCTATACACATACACACTCAAGGAATCTAAGGTAAGGTGAAAGTTGATATTTGGGTTGAAATTCTACACAATCACAAATTTTTGATATTTTTCTTGAGCTATTATTGTGTGAAATCTCTAAGGCTGATTTGGTAAATCAAAGCAAACTGTCACTCTTGTTTTGGAATTTCATTTTCATTAATTTTAGGCTTCTTTATTTTCGTTTGCTCGAGAACTAGCAAAATCTTAAGTTTGGGGGAATTTTATGAGTTGAATTTGTGTTTACATTTGCGTTTTCCTGACTTATTATTTTGTCAGTTTTTAGGTGTTTTTAGGAGTTATTTATGTGTTTTCAATTTATTTTGTAGGTTTGTTTCAGTTGGAGTCCATTGGTAATTTTTGGGAATTTTTGGAGCAAAATTGAAGAACAGGCACTAAGGCTTTGTAAAGGGGCACTTAGGCTTCGAAGATAGAGCAAAAATAAGTTTTTTAGTACTACAAACCCGGGAGCAAAGCGCCTAGGCACCATAAAGTAGAGCCATGGCACCAAAAACAAGTTTTCTAGTACTACAAACCCGAGAGCAAAGCGCCTAGGCGCCATAAAGTGGAGCCATGGCGATACGGAGAAGAAAATCACAAATTTGCCGCAGCGCCATGGCGCCTAGGGACAGAGCCATGGCGCCACATCAAATTTCTGAAGGCCTTTGTTATGGTGCCGCGGCGCCATTGAAGTAGAGCCATGGCACCAGTTCAGGAATTTCATGTTTTAATCTCTAAATAATTACCAAAAGTGCCATTACGACCCCGAACCTATAAATAGGAATTTTTAGACTCAATTAGGTTATGCTGGGACTTAGAAAAGAGAAAGGAGAACTTTTCTACTACAGAGGAGAAGACGAATCAACCGGGAACGGAATTCTGCTTCAATTCGTCAAAATAGTTTCTCCTTCTTCTCTTCTCATGTTTAAGAATATTGTTAAAATGTTTTCTCTTTTCATTATGTTCTAACTTTCCTATTCTAGGGCTACGATGTAGCCGGATCATGATGTTTTGAATTATGTTATCATATCAATCGAAGAATTATTCGTCCTAGTTGAGTTTTCATCACTGTTCTTAATGCTTCTAATTAATTGCCCACTAATTGGATGATTAGTTAATTCATAATGAAAACGGAAGGAGATTTATGTTTTTTGATCTTTGTGTTGAATTCCATTGATTGCATGTAAGATAGGAATATACTTGCATGGTTAGTGTGGTTGCTACATGGAAATCCATAAAACTTAATGACTCTTTAATTGTTTGAAATTCACATAGGAATATAGTGAGTTAGCAATTAAGGGGATTTTTGATGTAACTCGGAAGGGAGCATCGATTAATTTAGGGATTTTCGACTGTCAATTAAGGGGAATAATTTAAGATTGATTTGATAGATAATTCAAGGCGGAATGGTTTGGTGAAATCGGAAACCCTAGAGCTTGTTAATATTGAATTTTTATAATTACTTAAATTGTTAATTAGATTGTTTAGTTTTATTTATATAAAAATTCTCACTTGCTTGTTTCGTTCAAATAAAGTTAGTATTGATACAATTTCAGTAATTAATATTATTCAGTCCTCGTGGGACGATACTCGTTTCTACAAACTTTACTACTTGATAGGATAACGTGCACTTGCGTTTGCGAAAATTCGTAACAATTGTCAATTTGATATGTTGTTGATGTTGGATAACTGGTAATAATGATCTTTGAGATTTTAACGTAAGGATTTAATTTATTTGATCTTTTTATTTTGTGAATCAAAACTTGAATTGGTGAACGAAACATTAGGGATTCTCGACACCTTACCGTGTTTACTGCTGAATTTCCTTCATACAAATTTTCTCCTTTTTCCTTTATTTGCAACAAAAATCACAAAGACTCTTCTTTTTCTTTAATTCACTTGTTATTTATTTTTTTTCTAACACTCTTATTCTGTTAATCTTTCTTGTTTATTTTGTTATCTCTCTGTAGATACAACCACCCTTCTGTGTTACAATTGACCGCTTGTGAACATCACTTTTGGGCGTTAATCATCATTCCAATAAGAGACCATTCTTCCTTTACATTTGAAAATGACGATTTGCGTAAAAAGTATTCTCCTGATGATGATTCACACAAAGACTTGTAATCAAGGCTGCGCCAAAATAAGTACCTAATGGAAGAGAAAATAATATCAATTGCCCTTCCTTGCTGTCACTGAGTTCTTGATGTCTAACTAAATCAATATGCAATCTTAAAACAAATAAGTGTGTGTGTGTGTCTATATATATATATATATATATATATATATATATATATATATATCGGAATTCCGAATAAACTTAACCAATAAGGAATTTTAGCTTCAAGAGTATATATATCTACATGAGCTAAATTTTCAGGCCATTATTAAAGGCATACCCTTCCAATTCAAACACCTTCCTAGAACTCAGATGCTAGCTAATTAAAAATGAAGGTTCTAATTTAAAGCCACAAATTATACCCTTAACAATAAGTAAATTATAAAGAGGATAAGAAAAGCTAGACAAGAAATATTTACACTGTGAGATACTCACACTGACCACTTCGATGTTGAAAGTTCCCTTCCAGAGGGAAAACTAGTGAAACATAAGTTATTAATCTGAGTAGTTGAATACCAAGTCTTTTGAGGAGAAAAATCAAACCTAGTCCTTCATCCAATTCATGCAATAAGATAGACTAGTTCAAAGACTTCCATGTATAAATAGATCACAATTTCTAAGCAATATTTCCCAACCATAATCACTCAAGTGACATTAGCAGAAGTACTCATAGAGATCTATAACATATATACTAAAATATCAAACATAATGAAAGGTGTTAACATCCTTTTTAACACTTTCTGTCTTGGGTTTGGCAACTTTCATTGCCTCTGCCTATGACCCAAGCCCTCTGCAGGACTTCTGTGTAGCAATAGATGACCCTAACAAGGCTTGTAAGTATACACAGTTTTCCTTAATTTCCCTACTATTTTTCCTTTTTTTTTTTTACCACCTTTTAATAAATTATGTTCTCCATCTTATAAATGTTGAAAGTAAATATAAACTAAAAAAAATTTCCTTTTGAGCAGTGTTTGTGAATGGGAAATTCTGCAAGGATCCAAAGTATGCCAAGGCTGAGGATTTCTTCTTTTTTGGGCTTAACATTGCTGGGGATAATAACAATAAAGTTGGGTCTAATGTCACTCGTGTTGATGTGGAAAAAATTCCTGGCCTCAACACTCTTGGGGTATCATTGTCTCGCATTGACAAATTTGCACCATATGGCGAAAACCCACCTCACATTCACCCTCGTGCCTCCAAAATCCTCGTTGTCGTGGAGGGACAACTCAACGTTGGTTTTGTGACATCAAACCAAGACGGGAGATGTGTTTGTCTTTCCAATTGGTTTGATTCACTTCCAGTTCAATCCAGGAATGGTCCCAGCAGTTGCTTTCGTGGGTTTCGGCAGCCAAAATCCAGGAACCATAACAATTGCAAACGCAGTGTTTGGATCTAATCCTGCCATCAACCCTGAGATCCTAGCCAAGGCCTTCCAACTTGACCAGAAAATAGTTGAGCAGCTTCAGAAGAAATTCTGGGTAGCCAATTAGGGTGACCAACAAACAACCATATAATAAAATTACTAGAATATGTTATGTGTTATGTAATAAATAGAATGGTCATGTGTCTATGCGCCATTCTCTCATTTCAGTTTATTATGATTGAGTTGTTGAGAGCATTGTCTCCGTACTTTGTACTGTACCTATAGATTTACGTGTGTTTTACAAATTCAATAAAACTCTACTTTAGAAACTCTTGAAGTGTCTTTTAAGGAAAATGGATGAAAATGGTCATGGAATATAGCAATCTCACATGGATCGAAAAGAGAAAAAAACCGAGACCACTTGATGAAAACACTAAACAATTAGTATGATATAACCATTTGATCACAAATGTATGCCATAAAATCTGTCTCTCCTACTTCTAGCTACTGGATCAGCCTGTCTGATAATGATTTTGGAAGATGACGTCGTTTAATATTCTTTATTAGCACTGTCGTTTTATTCTAACGTAAAGAAAGCTGGTGTGCTTTTGTTTATTTATATGCATTTGAAGAATTTTCCTTTGCCCTGTTGATATATGTTCAATTACTTCTCACTGACTCATTGCCTCGTCCAATTTTTCTTGTTTAATCTTGGGTCGGGGATTTAAATTCTATATCTATGGTAGATTCAGATTTAGAATTATAAAGTTAATTTGATGTTGAATTACAGGCTATGCCGGTAATGCTTCCAATTTCTTCTTTTGCATTCTTAGACAACTTTTTTTTTTTAAAATTTGTTTTCTCTTTTTCTTCTTACAATATATATATTAAAAGAGTTAAGTTTCAAGGTAGGAAGTATCAATTAAAAGTTCTAACAAAAAAAGATTATCACTACGCAAGATGTTCCATTTTAAAAAGTATTTCCAATTTTTATTTTGATGTTCAAACTTTTAACTATGTACTTTAAACTTAATGCTTTAAAAAAATTATTGCAAAATTTCTCTTAATACAATCTTTTAAGTACATATATGTTTATTGTTTCCAGATCGAGTCGTTAGTAGCGGCTTACCAGATCGAGTCGTTACACATAATTTTAGAAGTAAACATGGTATTTGTGTCACTAGCATTCAAGATGTGAGGAATATAACAATATTTGATATAACTTATAAGACCGGCTTTGATTATTTGAATAGAGGATTCAGCATTGTTTTTCGCAAAAGCAATTATGTCACTCGAGACTTTTTATGTGATGCTGGACTTTCTTAGCGTTAACGTGGAAGCGCTGAAAACTATTTACCTAGCAAGTTTTCTTAATTTTACCACTTCCGGAACTAAGTAAACATATGTAATCCTAGGATGTCGTTTTGTGTGAGTGCGAATAGTTCACAGTCCAATGCTTTTTAAAGAAGGCGTCAAAATGACAACAGATTATAAACGACAGAGTGATTACGTCATTTGTTTCAAGAATAGAATGATAGATAGAAATATGCCTATGACCGCCAGGTCAATAGGGATGAGATAGGGTGCGGTGGAACGTGGGTTTGAGAGAACACGTGTTTAATCCTGTATTTGTATATACCAAAAAATAAACATAGAAATCTGACAAAACGGCGCTAGAACGACAAGAGAGATAACAACATCAATAGAAAAAAGACTCCATTAGGGGAAACGTGTCTACATGAAAACAACAGCAAGATATCATTTAGGAGAAAGACAATAACATATAACGTCATCTAAGTAAATAATACAAGACTTAAAACAATATCAACCTGAAAAACAGCATACACAAGTAAATGAAATCATTTCAGTAAACGACAATAATCTAAGTAAACGACACAGTTAAATAAACAAAACCAAAATAAAACATTGATAATTCAAAGGCGTCAAAAACATAAAAACAACAACACAGTAAGCAACGACAACAATAAAAACTGCTCTGTTTAAGTTAGCGACAACACGAAAATGACATCATGAAAACAACACACTTCTATAAAAAAAACATCAACAGCACAAAAACAAACGACAATTATATATAAGATGAAATGAAATCAGCAATAAAATTAAAACGACAAAGGCTAGAAAAGCAAAATAAACTAAACGACACATAGACACATAACCGAAAACGAAACTATCTTATGTAAGCACATCAAGTTCCAAAGAACGCGTCATTCTGAGAAAAAGTCAATACATCAAAACGGAAGAAACGACAACAATACAAAAAGGAATCATTTCAGTAACGACAACAATCTATGAAAATGACACAATTAAATAAATAAAACATTGATAATTCAAAGGCGTCAAAAACATGAAGTGGACATTTGGTTCACAGATTCAGAATCATGATTCATAACCATTCTCTGTTTACGTTTGTTTTTTGTGAGAAAAAATCCATGATCCGAACTATGACATGAATCCTCATACCGAACACCCTAGAAAATGACAACACAGTAAGCAACGACAACAATAAAAACTGCTTTGTTTAAGTTAGAGACAACACGAAAACAACATCATGAAAACAACACACTTTAATAAAAAGCATCAACAGCAAAAAAGCAAACCACAATTATATATATAAGACGACATGAAATCAACAATAAAATTGAAACAACAAAAGCTAGAAAAGCAAAATAAACTAAACGACACATAACCGAAAACGAAACTATCTTAAGTAAGCACATCAAATTCCAAAGAACGTGTCATTCTGAGAAAAAACAATAGATGAAAACGGACCCTTATCCACGACATGAAATCAAAATAAAAAAAACGAAAATGATTGTAAAACGACATCAACATAAGAAATGAGTCAAATGACTAGAGCATAAAAAGCGGCATCACTTGTGAAACAACAAAAATATGAACAATAAAAATATAATTAAAAACGATAGGGGAAAAAAGAAGAAGGGAAAACAATAACTTCAAGGGGGCGTTTGGTATGCAGTAATCTTAAGGATGAGAATGAGAATATGCAATATTACCATGTTTGGTACAAGAATTATAATTTTTAGATTCCCAGAAAAGTGATTACTATATGATTCACTTTCCTTCATTTTAAGGTAATTTGAATATCACCTAACATGCTGTTATTCAAATTCTCAGGAATCTCAAAATCATGGGAATCTTATTATTATTATTATTATTATTATTATTATTATTATTATTGATCTTCTTCCATGCGAACAACCAAATACAGTAATGTAATATTCCTGGAAATTTAAAAAAGATTCCTGTATGAAACCAAACACAGTAATATATTATTCTTAAAAATCATATTACCCTCCATCACTTTCCTAAGAATATAATTCCTACTGATTCCTACATACCAAATGCCCCCCAAGCGACAAAGGATACAATATGACAACAATAATGTGGGAAAAAGGCGAATAGATCAAAAAGACGTGAAAGGAAATAAAGACACTGTAAGATACATATTAAAAAAAGAAAAAGACTAGTTCCAATTTGAAAATTTCCTTCCAGAGGAAAAACTTGTGGGAACTAAAATAATTTTTCTGTATGAGTAGTTGAGCACTTGATACATTAATAACAAGATAGCTACTGAATCAAAATTTACCAAGTCTTTTCTGAATTAGAAAACACAAACCAAGTCTTTTATCCACTTCATGAAGTAAGATAGACTACTTCAGACACTCCCATCTATAAATTGATCTAGAGCAGTGCAAACACTTCTCATTCATTCAAGCAACGTATAGATATATATCAGATATAACTCGAGAGATATCTAGCAATAGCATATACAAATATATATATATATATATAGCAACCATGAAAGGTGTTCATTTCCTTCTTATAGTAGCTGTTTTGGCTTTGGCAACCTCCATTGCCTCTGCTTATGATCCAAGCCCTCTGCAAGACTTTTGCGTAGCAACAGACGATCCCAACAAGGCTCGTAAGTCTACATTTTTTTCCCCCCATTAATTCCCTCACTGTTACCAATTTTTATTCCTCAATAATTTTTCACCATGTTTTACAGTGGTATGGCAAATTGATACTGACGAAAATTTATTTCCTTTTGAGCAGTATTTGTGAATGGGAAATTCTGCAAGGATCCAAAGCATGTCAAGGCTAAGGACTTCTTCACTTCTGGGCTCAACATTGCTGGAAACACTAGTAACCCAGTTGGTTCCGCCGTAACTACTGTAAACGTGGACAGAATTCGAGGACTTAACACTCTTGGGATTTCATTGGTTCGCATTGACTATGCACCATACGGCGAAAACCCGCCTCACATTCACCCTCGTGGCTCCGAAATTCTTGTCGTCGTGGAGGGGACACTCCACGTCGGTTTCGTGTCGTCTAACCAAGACGGAAACCGCCTATTCACCAAGGTTCTAAACAAGGGAGATGTGTTTGTGTTTCCTATTGGCTTGATTCACTTCCAGTTCAACCCGGAACATAAGCCAGCAGTGGCCTTTGCTGGTCTCAGCAGCCAAAACGCAGGAGTTATTACAATTGCAAACTCAGTGTTCGGATCGAATCCTTCCATCAAAGCTGATGTCCTAACCAGGGCCTTCCAACTGGACAAGAATGTTGTTAAATATCTTCAGAAGCAGTTCTGGTATGACAACAACTAGCTAGAGAAACGACAATTAAAACAGCCATGAATCTAGGATCTTTTGTGTTATGTAATAAATAGAATGGTTATGTGCTGTGCACCATTCGATCTCATTTAATTTTATGATTGATTTACTGTTGTTGGATTGTTGAGAGAAACTCGTTTAGTTTTTGTACTTTCTAAGTAGCAATAAATTTACTGTTTGTTTTGCAAATTAAATAAAAGGCAACTATTTTGTCGCATTCCGTTTAAGGAGTATGTTGGCTGCTTTCCACACAAATGAAAATGGACATGAGTTGCTAATCACACTTACCAAAAGAGAAAAAAACAGAGGTCAAAGTATGAAACCAAACCATCGTTATTGGCCATTAATTAATGTGTCCACCAATTTTCTTATCTGTTATAAAAAATAAAAAAAAAGAAGAATAAATAATTAAAAAAAGAATAAATATCCCGTTAAATTGGGGAAAGAAAGGGAGAGAGCGAGAGAGAGAATATCCGATATGTGCAGGCTACCAGCAAATTGTTTAGCTGCTACAAAAGTACTGATTAAAATGTTGTCTTCGTAATTTTTTCCATTAATTAATAAAGATTGTTGGTCCTTTCTTATTGGTGCTGATACCTGGAATGTAAAAGAAAGCAACCGACTAATAATTTAATTATAAGAAAAGGAAAGAAAAGAAAGCTTCATTAGGTTGAAAGGAACTATGATAATGTGGCCAGTTCCTTTTTAAAAGTTTCTTTCTAGGCAAAATTAGTGAAACTTTAAATATTATATCCATAGCTTCTGTATGCGTCAGGAGGTTACGTGTCTAGATGAACCTTGGTCAATATGCTTGTTCGTCATTATTATTAATAACTAGAAGAACAAAGAAGATAAGTTTCGAATCATACTTTTATTTGCCAATTTACCGGATATAGTTAATATCAAATTAATTAAATTACCGAAGTATAAATTATATAATGAAGTCAGAGAATTTTATGTGATTCGGCAAAAATTTACATTCACAATATCACCCTCAGACATTAAATAATACACTAATTAATTTCGATTACAATCACCAATAGACTTATTCAGCAAGCATCACTCGTCTTCAAACTCTGCATGATGAAATTCCTTCACTTAGTAGATCGTTCTCTTCCAAAACTCTAAATACTTCTTCTGAAAAACAATGATTGGTTGACCTCCCTTCAACATTGTAGATCGTCTTTCTCTTGAAGATGACAAATTTTTCTCCAGAAGAATGTCATTTTCTTCTCCTAAAGAACATAGTAAAAAAGTCTCACCGCACTTTATCTCCAAGATTTCAACCTTCTTATCCTCATATTTTTCTTAAAATTGAATCTGAATCTGTCATGCTTCCACACATTATCTTCTTCTCAATTTTCAAATCGATCCAATCTTAAATCCCAGAAGATAAATAATAACTTGAGTATTACCACAAGATGCCAACACTAAAATACATAACAAAGTCTTTTATGTACAAATTATAAAGTACATCTTGTTTGAGAGTAGAAAACCAAGCCTTTTGTCCGCTTCCTGAAGTAACAAAGACTAGTTAAGAGAATCCAGTATCCACCTATAAATAGCGATGTCAAATCTGTAAATATTTCTCAGGTATTCTTGAACTAACTAACCTCAATAGTGACTAGAGAGTAATTATCATGACTCCCAACAAATGTTTGTGCAATACAGGAATTATCCTCCCTGTTCCCTAGGAGGTCATTTTGAAAAATGACATTTTTGGAGAGACAAAAACAAAATAATAATTAAAAAAGACAATCATCTATAACCGCGTCCACAATAATCTTGAAACCATCACTAGTTTTAAAAAGGGCACTGATTCATAAAAACAGCAAAAGAGACACCGTCCTGAAAAACGATATTAGCCTCATGACAAACGAATGCCTATCGGGAAACGATAAGAACATGAAAAACGACATCAATCAAAATGAAGACACCAAAACAAAAATGACAATCATTTAAAAAAATAACAAAAAAGGCTAAAAAAATGGAGAAAATTACATATTCTACCTCTTTAAGTACCTGAATCACTAAAAGTACTTATTTTAAAAAAACTCTACCCCTTGACTAGTTTTAGTCTAAAGGGTAGAAATATAAGAGCTAATGTAAGATGTAAAAATAAAAGGGCTTCACTAAGATTTTGCACCAATCAATAGAAACATATATCGTAATGCTCAAATTAAATTTTTTTATGCGTAAAAATTTTAGGTGTCAATCTAGTTGTGATGTGTTAAGTTTCTCTAACATAAGTTGATAGATTATATATATTGTAAATTTGTAATGGTTGTGACAGTATTAAGTAGAACATTTTTTTTTTTAAAAAAAATCTGAAATTAAGCAGTGTTTGTGAGAGGAAAATTCTGCAAGGACCCGAATAGCGTCGAGTCAAAGGATTTCTTTGCATCAGGGCTCAACATTTCCACAAGCACAGACAATGAAGAGAGGTACAACGTAACCAGCTTGAACGTACGTAGACACATTCCCGAGGCTCCACACTCTTGGCGTGTCTCTGGCTCGCTTTGACTATGCGCCTTACGGTGTAAACCAGCCTCACATCAACCCTCGTACTAGCAAAATCCTTCTTGTTGCAAAGGGAAAACCATACGTGGGTTTTGTCCGGAGAAGTCGCAATTCCGGACTCTTTGTTTGGATCGGATCCTAGATATATAGATTAATGCTTACGTACGACTAAGTTTGTAAGCTAAACAAACAGAATAGTCCTATATATAACTATATCTATGACGCATGTATTTTCTTTTTTGGTAAAAGTATATGGATTGAATACGAATACAAGCAAGCAGATCATATGGTTCCAGTTTGTTAATGTACTCTATCTTATTAGAGATGTACTTGTTAAGAATTAGACACTCTAATTCAATGCTAGATGTAGCAATAAAATCACAAAATAAAAAAACATAACAATATGTAAGATATTTTATAGACTTATAGTAGTTTACCTTTTATGTGAGAGCTATGAAGTTATAACTTACTATAATGAAACAAAATTTAAACAAGAAAAATCGCGCACTGCACACCTCTCAACTACAGTAAGATTTTTATCATGACGTGAAAATTGTAGCGTCAAGAAAAAGAAAAAAATAATGAATAAACAAAAAAGGAAAAAAAGAAAGGAAAAGAATGTCATAGAAAAGGAACCATAAGATCATATGCAGAATCACCAGTTCTGTTTGAAAGTTTCATTTGGGAGGCAAAACTACAGTGAGTTTTTTATGTTATATACTATAGATTTTTTAAGTAAATAAGTAAACGTATATCTACTAAATCCTCCACTCTGTTTTATTACAAAAAGCAAATAATAGAAAAATAGCAAATTAATCCTCCTAAAGACAAACAAAAGTCAACAAAACCAACTCAAATCAAATGAGCCAAGAAATCAACTGTAGCTTAAATAAGCTCGTAGGAACTGATCTTGTCTATAATCTTATCATATATCAATTATCAATAACAAGATTACCTTTGCATCAAATATTTTTACCAATTCTTATATAACCGGTCGAGTCCTTTTTTTTCCCGCTTTGTGAAGTTTTCAATCCTAACTATAAATATAGCTGTTGTAGGGTAAAATGCCGAACTCAAAATTAGACCGTGAATGGGACCCACAAACCATAAAGAATAGTATTAAATGATCAAGTACAACTCAACTCTAAAAGTCACGTCAAAAAACAGTTTTATTAAGAGTCGACTGATACAAGGAGGCATCTATTATAAGTGAGAGGTCGACCGTTGTAAGAAGGAGACATGAGGTTGACCGCATTTACAAGCAATAGCGAAGATGATAAAAAAAAGCATCTACGGAGTCGAGGCTACGTAAAGATAATGATCTAAAGAATTCTTTTTTAGATTTACCACTTGTAATTTAAATAAATGAATTTCAAATAGGAAAACCGGCCTAATTGATTGTAATCTCTATCTTTTGAGAAATTATCCTAAAAGATAAGAGAAATATCTCAAATTTAAATAGGGAAACAAACATAGGCGGTGACATAAGATACAAATAAGGGATTATACGTCATAAAATCCTTAAGTCTCATTCTGAGCATTAGACCGTATATTTTCTTCAAAAGTAGTGAATTTTTTCTCCTCCTCATAGTGGACATAGCTCTTGAATTAAAGGTGAACCACTATAAATTTTATGTGTTCTTACATTAATTTAGCTTTTAATTGCGTTTAAGATCATTAAATTTGCGTTAATTGATACAAAAATTCATTATTATTTTATTAATAAATTTTCATCGTCAACAATAGTCATATCCAACCTGGAAGATTTCACAACTCTCACTCAAACACCGAGCAAATCCATGGCATTATATCATAACTAGTTAGTTTATATACTGGTCAAAATGCGCCATGTGCGCGTGTGATATTTTTTAAAACAATAATTATACAATTTTTTGAAAAAAAAAAAACAAAAGAGGAAGAAGAAAGAGAGGAAAGAAAGAAATAAAGATAAAAATAGGAAAAAAATGAAAGCAAAAGATAAGGAAAGGAAAAAGAAAAAACTCCGTGCTAAATGTTTCTCGCGCATTGAGTCACGCGGGAAGCACAATATGGACACGGATTGCATGTGCTTTAGATTTATGTAAAGATCTATCAAGGACGAAGCTTTCACGTTGGCTGTCTTGGCTCTGGCATCCTCGATTGCCTCTGCCTATAACACAAGCCCCAAGACTCCTCACAGCAGAAAATGACCCCTCAAAACGACATCAACTCGAAAACTATTATAAACTCATGACAGCTACATAATCCGAAAATGACAAGACAAAAACATTAAAAAGCAGTCAAAATATAAGAAATGACATCAACATAAGAAAAGACAATACGTCAATGTCCCCAAAAAAATGCATTACTTATGGAAACGACAACAACCTGAAAAAACAACATTAATCTAGCAAACGACGCCAAAACAAAAACGACAACAATTTAAAAACAACATCAACTTGAAAGCGACAAGAAAAAAAAACTAAAATAATGTGACAATCGATACTAACATAACACACGACATAACCAGGCACTAACGACGGAAATTATGATAACCTAAAAAATGACAATAATAATGAACAACACGAAATTATGACCGAGAACATGTGAAGCCGACATCAAA